TGATTGAAGCAAAAGGAGGCCCGACTAAGTACTAGTTACTTAGTACAAAATGTAGATCGGACCTTATTTAAATAAAATAATATTGATTTTTCTCAGTTTTAACTTTAAATTTTGAGTTTTATGTTATTCCAAAAGTGTTCGGAGACTTTTGGTGACCCTCTGTAGTATTGAACCTTCTGACACTATTGCAGACCTTTTTTTTAGTAGCAATCTCTTTTTATGAATTACCATTCGCAAATATTCAAGTTTGTTTTCAAATACATAGTTCTTTACAGTAGCATGATATAAAAATGGGTATAGAAGAAGATCTTGATTTACTTGTTTATTTAAAAGTATACCATATTCAGTTTTCTTTAAATGATAGAATCATTCCATTATCATCTAATAAAAATATACCAAATGCATTAGAAACTTTAATGCAGAACTCTAAAAAACTTCAGCTTCCACCTGCCAAAAGTTATGCAATAAGACCCAATTTATTATATAATCATCTTTTGAAAATACTTCAGAAAAAAGAATTAGGATGGACTGGTAGCTTTTATTTATCTACAGAAAAGGATTTTGTTAAACGATTAACAAATCTTATTTGATATATTGATCCACACTGGCATAAATTTACAAGACACTCTTTTTATATACCACTATTTGTTCAACAATTACCAGAATATCAAAAAGATCGAGTTTATAATCTTTATTATGAAGAGTCACATCATAAAAAAGAAGAAATCAGTAGTGAGAGGTTACACCAACATATGGATTCAGTTCAAAAATCAATAGTAAAACCATAGGCTTTAGAATTAAAATAGAAATCATTTCAAATAGAAGTGATACAACTTTGTGAAGCATGCCAAAATTATATTAGATATTTGAAGCAAGTTAATAATTGAATGCAGATAATACATGATAGTTCTATTCCTATATGAAATGAAATTGATCACATTAAGGTTGAAGATTTACCAATATGTAAAGATATTAAACCAAAGTATCAACCAATTATAGATATTTTAAATACAGTTGGAGAATTTGAACTAATATGTATTGATGAATATTTACCTGTTGACTCTTTAAAAAGACCTGTCTTTTTAAAAGAAATGAGTTTATCCTTACTAATGACTTTATATATATACTATCATGGAAATTATCTTAGTAATTTACATTGGATTTGGAAAAAAAATGAAGAAATTAACGATAATACTAAAACATTAGAAACTCAAGCTATTTTGAAAGTGTATAATGAAATTCCAAAATATAGTACTCGTCAAATGCGTAAAAATATTATAAATAAGGTAATATATAGTAAATTAATTATTAATATAATATCTTATTAAGCTAATATTTTTTTTTATAGTATTCTCTTTTTACCAAACTTTCTCCATCAGTAATTCATGAAATATATCAAGATATTACCGATGATACTGCTGCAAGTAATGATACAATCTCTAAAGAAATGCGTAAATGAATAAAATTTGTATTTCAAACAAAAAATCCTGATATTATTTGTGATTTACGAGTTAATAATGGATTTCAAGGTATAAAATTTGATAATTTTTGGGACGTGATGCAAGAATATTTTAATCATGTAAGTATTAAATATTTATATAAAATCTACTTATTTGTATATAATATAAATATAATAAATAGGCTTATAGTTAAATGCTATATTAAAAAAGATATTTGTTTTTATATAGAATCTTCCTGCAGTTCATGAGCAGCATATAAAACAAATAATGTATATGCCAATTGCTATTTTTATTTAAAATCTCCTTAAGGCTGTAATTGAAATATTAAAAGAAAAAAGTAATCAAGAAACTTTTGAAAAAATCAACATACTAAGTATTGAATGGATTCGCTTACAATTTTAACCAAAAAACCAATATGCAAAAAATGCAATTCAATATACTAGTCGATTTAATATAGAATATAAAGTACAAAGTAGACTTCTTCAAAAATCACACCCAAATTCTTATTATTGTGCTGCTTTATTTAAATACGAAAGACAATTTGCAATTAAATTTCGTAATTATACAGCTTTTATATGTACTGATGATAAGCATAAGATTGGAATTGGAGAGGATATATCTGTATCAACAGAAGTTAGAAACAAAACTATACTCAATTCCGTTAATATAAAGCTTTCTGCTTCTGATCATGATTTTACAAAATACTCTCTTACACCTTCAGTATCTCTATTTGTTAATATTCCAAAAAATATTTCTGAAAGCTTTTATGATGGCAATGTTTATGTTTCATATAAAGATTCAATTTTTGAACCCAGTTCAGCTTTAAGACATTCATTAGAATAGATACAAGCTTTAAAAGAACAATATCTTATTTTACCTAAAATTCTTTTAATTTATACTGATAGAAGTCCGGATCATCAATGCACTTTTGGATCTGTTCAAATAGCACTAATTTGTTTATTTTTACATGGTAATTTTGATTTTTGTGCTGCTATTCAGACTGCACCATATCAATCATGGACTAATCCTGCAGAAAGAATTATGTCAATACTCAATTTAGGATTACAAGGTGTAGCTATTCAAAGAGATAAATTGACATCTGAAATGGAAAATATAATGGGAAACTTAAAAATAATGGAGGATATTCGTGAAGCAGCAAAAATATTACAAAATCTCAAACCAGAATTGAAAGCAAGTATTCAAAATATACAAGAAAGGTTAGAAAAACAGACAGAAAGATTAATTTTACATAATACAAACTTCAAAACTATGTTACTAGCAACAGAAGATGAGATAAACAGCTTTTTCAATGTAAATATATTATATTTATTATATTTCACAAGTTTAAACTTTAAAATTCATATT